TGAACACTTTATATGAAATACGTTAATTCCCATTATGTATTATATACAGCAGATCTACAGCGTACTCTGCACTCAACGGCGAGCACCAGCAGTTATAGCTTATCTTAAATACCATATAAATTATGGATAGCACGTTGTCAGTAAATGCCCAATTTTAGGTGGAATCGGACGATGCATGATCAATGAATTTCATAAAGACTCCCTTTCTCACATTCATCGCATCAATGTCTGCCATCTCGGTGATTTAGTGGGCAATGACCCTCTAGAGACTCGCACGTTAATTATTTTTGTGTAAGTAGGGTCATGCCCGGTTAGAAAAAACCCTCCATATGCAACTGACTAACAATGCGGTCCCGAAAAATGGATACTCTTAGCATAAATCACGAAACTGGGACATCACTGCAACGTGGGCTACCTGTCAGCCGATCGCAACAAGGATATACGTTTACTTCACGTCGCCGACCTAAGAGTCCACTTGCCTATACTGTACCGAATTGTCGGTTGGTTACGGTAAATGCGCTATTTCACGAAATGTTTAGTACCATATTGAAACGCATTTTCTACTCGAAGAAATAATTTTAGATGAGTTGTGATATTAATTATCGTAGGGTCTATTCCAAAGGTGGTCCAGTCACGCTAGGATGCCAGCATTTGAACGACATTATCCTCTGGCCGTCTGAAAATAGTTTTCTGTAAAAAGTGACGTCTTATTCATTGTGAATTTTTCCTACTGATTTTCGATGCTTCCAGAATTTCTAATGCGTTTTACAGAAACTATGCATAATAATGTTCGTTCATTTACTTCCTTCATATTAAAATACGTATCTTTTATAATTAGTATCTGAACAAAGATTTTAATCAGACCTTAATTTTTTTCTTTAATTCCCTTATAATTCTGAACCTAATGGGCCGCCAAATTTGCATAAAGGGCTTCAAGAAGAAATTCAAATATTTGTACACTCCACTAGAAGGATATCATGTGGGCTCCACAAAATCGTGCGGTACACCTAAAGTGTATTGAAGGTTCAGAAGCGACATTAATAAATGTAGATGTACGATGTTTTATAATTAGACATTTTACGGTCCTAAAAATTGTCACGACAAAACTTGGTTAAGTCCGAACCTATTCTTTTACCAAGCATAGATTTTTAAGCGTGACGCAATTTCTCGCCAAAGGCATTAAAAACTGATATTTTTTGCATGTTCTCTATGAAACACGTTTGAGTTCATAATGCATAGATTATCAGTGAGAACACCTCATACAAAGTAAAAAAGATATTTTTACAGACCCAAGTCTTGCTGGAAAGGAAGCTTCTTCAAAAGCCAGCTTCCTGACCCGGTTTAAATACGGTGGCGCTTTTCTACGAGGTAATTAACTTCAAGTCAGTGCTTGTGTGACCGTTGACAATCGAAAATGAACATCAGAGTTTCAAGTAGCATGAACTGAATGGACGTAATTTGAACGTTAGCATCAGCTTTACGGGTTCAATGCTCAATTCCACGGAATTGGACTGAAACATGTTAATCGGCATTACTCCTGACGTTTGAATTATCTCTTAATGTGTGTAATCTAAAATCAGCTCCGCAATGTTTGTGGTTTCCCCATGTTCCATTTTCTGATCCATAATGTCGTGCGTAACTAAACTGGGTGTTCGAGACGATAATGCTTTAACAGCTAGCTTTCTGCCCATGACATTCGCAAATGTCGTATTGACGCTACCCAAAAATCTTTTTGGGAAATAAGAGAGGACATCAGTTATAATATGCACTTATTGAGGGATCCTTTCACCGGTTCTCGTTTTGTACTCGTAAATGGCGTGGCATCACTAGTAGTTTAAACAAATTCTTGTCTGTAGGCTTCATTATCATGTTCAATGACATTAGTACGTAGATCTACATGTCTAAATATTTGAAAGTCTTAAACTCTACAGGTTTATCAAATTAATCTGTTTGTTTACGTCCTGCTTCACTTGGTTTACGTGGAGCAAAAAACAACTTCCAGCGCTATAGGATCTGCTTTATAAAATTCGCGAGGTACTGCAAGTCTGCTGTTTATGAAAACTACGCCCAAATTGATTTATCCAGTTTAGAACGGTTTTTAATATAGAGCATTTCGCGAAAATAAGATAGCGTAAAGTTTCGATGAAGTCCGTGTGGATCCTACCTCATCCATTTTCAATGAGCTAAATCCGCATGAAAAAGAGTATGTTTCTGAACAGTTTACGCGAATAAACAAGGTGAACATGGTGTTTTTTACTTATAATTAGCACCTCAGTCTCCGTCTTAACAAAGGATCGGCATTTGTATGGATAACAAACCATTCCCTTAAATTTCAATTTCCATTTATGTTTAGTTACATGTGATTGCTAGGGAGGAAAATTTTTTTCTGACAATTATCGCCAGATCTATGATACCGCATATTGCAAAACATATATTGCTTATCAAGTTTGCCGATAAAATTCGACTTCTTTATCATGCACCATTAAATGTGTACAACATGTTTGCGACATGTTTTGCACAAACGTTTCAGAAAAAAATGGTCGGCTGAAACTGTGGTTTTCCTTCATTGCAGAGATGTTTTACGAACCCATTAATTTCCTTTTTTGTACAACCTTGCTGTAAGGCACATAATATATATCTTTTTCGTCATGTAATGATTTCGATACGGTATGATGCTTTGGTTGAATCAATCTCTTTCGTAGCTGAAATGTTGGTTTTGACATTACTCAAACACTGCTCTAGTTTTTGCACAAATGACTTTTTGGCCGCTTGGACATGTCTTTATTGTCACTTCGACTATGCCACGAAGTCAGCGCCCGCGCATATGGGTCATCAGCACTAATTGCCACTGAATTTACTTGTGATTATTTCTACTTGGCTGACTGTCTTCGCTGGCGCTCAATTCAACGGAAGTATTATTACTGATCATACCTAAACGGTAAAAATAGTTTAAGTGTGAAGTTATTACCGTCTTCAGGATGCCTTTGCCCTCAAGCCTGCGTTAATGTATTCACCAAATGAGCAGAATTCTAGCTAACGTTTTTACCACCCAGGGGTGATTATGCACGGCTGAACGGAACATCTGAAATATACAATTACCAGAGATCAAAGGGAAGTTGTAAACAATGCGTAGCTCTTTAAATAATTAACACGCATCCAAAATAGTCCGTAAAGTCCAAATAGCACATAGCTTTCCGAGTTGAGAAGGTTGTGACCAATGTCCAAGTTCCATTTAATAATACTTCTGAATGTTAATAAACTGAAGTCAATGTTTTTGCTGACCGCTTTGCTGAAACCGGTAAGATATTGAATTTTGTTCTGATTATTAAATAGAAGAAAACTGCAATAAATATGTTGTCTTGCATGCCTGAATGAAACATGTATACTGCTTACATTCGCGACCAAAAACCGAATTAAATACTGTGGCTAAGAGAACTTGTTACCCGTACGCAGGATAAAGGTGTTGAACAAGTCTCTGGAAGTAGTTTATAAAATTTTATAAAACATAACGTGCAGAACAGATGAACACACTTCCAAAAACATTTAAGGAAGATTGCATAAGTCGGAAAAATCAAGACCGCCGAGTAAGCAATACTGGTCCCCGGTAATAATAATCGGATTGTTGTGATTATCGAATGATTAATAGAAAAAATAATGCTGTAAATTTGCACAAAGTGTGGTCAACAAAAATACATAAATGCGGCGGTCAACAGAACATTAGGCGGAAAATTTAGATAAATCAACTTGTTTGTATAGATGACAATACATATCCGGTTGGTATAAATATATTCTTATACATGTATATATAGATATATATATACTCACAAGACAAGAAGGAGTAAAAAGAGCATTACTCTGAGGAAAGAAATCGGTTTTCTAAAACTTCGCTCAACTTAAGTCTGATCCATTAATCCGTAATCGCGTTTTCTTCGTCCTCTTCGGCAGATGATGCACGCGGTTGAGTGTACCAGTCGAGAACCAACCTTCGAGCACCAGTCTGGCCATCTTCTCATTGGCTCGACCAATTACCCTGGCTTTCTCAAAGGCACAATTGTGGTTCACTTCTCGTATATGGCCATAGACCAAAGACAGCTTGTCCTTGCGGTTGATCGCAAGTTGGTATTCGTGCAGTCTTGTACCGAGGCGGTTGCCCGTTTCACCAACATGCCTTGCATTGCAATTTAGGCATGGTATGCTGTAGACCACCGCCGACTGTTCTGTTATCGCTGGCGGGTCTTTGGGCTTCATGATTTACTGTCTGATGGTGCATTCTGGTTTATGAGCCACGCCAATCGCAAAAGGTTTCAGGATGCTTGCCGTTGACTCTGATACGTTCTTCACATAGGGTATTGAGAGCTAGAACTTGGGCTTTTCTCCACTCGACCGCTCAAAATGTGGCTTTTTGAGGTAATTGCCCATGAAGGACTTCGGGTAGCCGTTGGCTTTAAAAAAGCCCTGTAAGTAATTCATCTCCGCCTTCCTCCCACTGTCGTCGTTACCGTGTGCTTGAACACGTTGAAAGAGAGTTCTGACACAACTGCGTTTATGACCAACAGGGTGGTTGCTTCGGAAGTGGAGTATCCACCTAGTATTTGTTGCCTTACGGTAAACCGTTGTCCTTATCTTCCCGTCTGTCAATCTCGTAACTTGTACGTCCAGGAAGGGCAACTGATTGTTGACTTCCTCTTCCATAGTAAACTGAATGTCGGGGAAGATTGAGTTCAACAACGCCTTGAAAGCCTTCAACTCGCTCCTCTTGATTACAACGAACGTGTCGACGACGTATCTGGCCCATAAGTTCGGGGGGTACGAGCTGAAGACCTGCTGCTCAAGTCTCTGCAAAACCGCTTCAGCAATTAGTCCAGACAGAGGCGAGCCCATCGGTGTCCCCTTCTTTAGTTCGTAGACTTAGCAGTTAAATTTAAAGAAGGTCTTAAGACACAGTTATAGGGGCTCGATGATGTGTGCTCGTTTGAGCTGTTGGTCGGTCTCTTCATAATTTACCGGAGAAAGCCATCAATAGTGTCGATAGCCAGCGCAGGTGGGATGGAGGTAAATAATGAGATCACGTCGAATGACACCATCACCTCATCTGCCTCCACCTCGAGATGTTTAATGTGCGTCAAGAACTCTTCAGCCGACTTCACTGTCCACTCCGAATCCTTGGTAAGGAAGCAAAGTTGCTGGTACAGCCAGTTTGACAGCCCCACGGTTGGAGTACCACGTAAGGAGACGATGGGGCGTAGCGGCACCCCCTGCTTGTGGACCTGTGGTAGGCCGTAGAAGCGCGCCATCGCGGTATCACTGGCTTTTGCGGCCAACGCTTCCCTTCTCGTAAGAGCTCCCGCCTTCCTCAGCTTGCCGATCGTATTGTCTATGCTGTTTACGAGCTTCTTAAACTCGCTGACGGTCGATGGCGCATAAGATTCCTTGTCCACCAAGAGGTTGCCTAGTTTTGTGCCGTACTCAGCCTTATCCATGACGACAGTACGGCGTTTGTGTTGGAGGAGTAAGGCCACTGCCCCCGCGAAGCTGTATTCGGCTCACCTGAACAGCAACGACTGATCTGTCCACCGGCTGACGTGTGAGAGGCCAAGCCGCACGTTGCTTTGACCACAATTAAGCCGACCCCAAGGGAAACAAAGATCACGCAGGCCTGTCAGCGGTCAGCTCCTGGTCGGTCTATGCCAGTCAACGGCAAAAAGGCAGGTCAATGTTCGTGCGTACAGCACGGCCACAATACGAGACAAGCGGCAAGACTGAACAACTGAAGATCGGCAAGTGCAACAATTACGCTAATCTGATGATGGAAACGAGGAAGTTTCCGGAACGTCAGTTCGAATGCAATATGGTCCATGATTTCGCCCTCACTTCTTCTTCGTCTTTTTCGGGAGATGATGAGCGCGATATATATGTCTATATATGCAATTATGTTTAATTTTTCGAGGTTTATATGTCTTGTCGCATTTTTTATCCCTCAAAGAAGAGGAAGAAGAAGATAGCGTGAGTCCCATAGTCACATTGTATTTAAGCTGACGTTTCAGATACATCATACTTCAAACATTTTAATAATGTGCTTTTTGCTCTTGATGATGCTGATTTATTCACCTTTGCCTTTCACGTCGTGTTATAATCGCGCTCAATGCACGGACACTGACCACCCTTTTGCCACTGACTGACATTGACCTAATTGAGGTTAAATTATGTCTTCTTTGGAGTCGACATTTCGTAGCCAAGTCAGCGTGCCTGTTGGCTTCCCACGGACTTTGATGTTTTTGTGAGTTTCGTTTCAGCCACGCGGATGCACCTGAGGAAAAATGCTATGCATTTGGTGCGTGAATTCCGACCACCACCTGTCCTCTTTTCGGTGAACCTCAGGTTTGGGTTTTGCATAAGCGCCTGACACAACTGACTTCAAGTTTGCACTTAAAGCCTGGTATTCCGGGCGCAGGTCCATAGCTCGGTCGATCTTGGCAATTAAGGATCAATGCCCGATTACTAGTCTGGCTATCTTTTTGGCCTGGCCGGTCATCTCCACTTCCTATGGTCTACCCGAGGTTCATAAGCTGGAAGTGTCCTACGTGCTGTTGTCTTTTTTTTAGGACATCCCGACTCTTTTGCTGTAGAAATAGCTAAAATGGCGACTCTTTTCCACGTCGAGGATTTGCAGTGAGTATTGAATTCGACATAAAAGAGTTGGTATGCATCCAACATCCCGACGTAGACGCAAATGATGCAATAGCGTAATTTAGAGTCATTTTTATACGCATCTCTTTCCTACACGTATCAGTAATCGATACTATCGACGGTTTCCTCCGCATAAACTACGAGGAGAACGATCAACAACACTAGTGAGGGCGAATCCTCGAGCAAGCGTCAAAAAAACAGACAACGACCTCAAGGAGAACAACCCGAAATCTGGAGGGTTACTCCTTATATTAAGGGAGTATTCGAGGCGGTTGGGGAAACCGGACGGAAACTGCCGACCTGCCTCCATGAGAAGCTCTCCGAAACGTCGGCATTGCAATTCCCCCGATCCGCTGAGCACTTCTTTTACCTCGAAGTACATTCCTCATATACAGCAGCGCAGATGCAGCTAAGCCAGCGTGCTTCTTGACCGTCGCCTCGACCGCTGGCAGATTCATTAATCGTCCTCTCTCGTTCGAGGGCGCGTCGGTGGGACAGTGTGTCGTGGCGAACGCGAGAAATCCGGTTTGCGCCTCCTCGCCTATCCGCGTCCTCAAATCATTCAAGTGACGCTGTCTGGACTGCTAGGAACCGTATGCGAAGCGTCCAGAAGGGGTGAGGGGGTTTCGTCTATTCGTCGGTAGGGTAATTTCGGATATCAGCCTGGCTATCTTATCGTTGGCATCGACTGGAAACCCTCACTTTCTCATAGGCGTATCCGTGGTTTTGCAGTTCTGTGGGACAATAGGCCGGAGAGAGTTCAGCTTCGCGGTCAAGTTCAAGTTGATTTTCGTGCGTTCCTTGCTCTTTCCTCTACCATAACTTGCGTCATTTCTGTGGCACACGGCTTATTGTTCAGACCCTTCAATCATATGATCTGATTTTTAAGGAGTGATTTCGTTTAACGAGCCATAGCATCGCCGAAAATTTTAAGGATTTTTGTCATCGGTCCTGATATAAAGAATAGGAGCTCTGAGGTTCCCATGCTCTTCGATCAAAGTGCGGTTAACTGAGTAAAGAAGGACCTCGGGTGACTGTTGGCTTTTCGCATAGCATTTGGTTTTCCACAGCTTAATATACATTAAGCTACTCCACACAAAATCCTCGAATTTCGCTTTGCAGAAAATGATAATCGTATAGAATATATTGTGGATATAGGCAAAAATGCTGACCCCAGGTGTTAATATGGAAGAGGAGGATGAGGCGATCTCTGGGGAAGAAGGTTTATTCATCTGACGTTTCGTGTTCATACTCGAGCACATCTTCGGAGATAGGCTGAGCGAGAAATAC